TTAAATTAGAAATTCTCTTAAATTCTCATCTAAATAAAGCACAAAAATGTACAAAAAGACTGTTAATTGTTTTTTTGCTTTTCATTTATTACGAAATAAAACAAAAAACTGGGCACTTTTTTCTAAAAAAGAGTAAAAAAATTGAACAAAGTAACTCAAAAATTAAAGGAGAAAAGGGGAAAGAAAAATAATAACTCCTGAAAACTTGTGGGAAAAGGTCGCTCAAGGTCACATTTGTGTTGTTTCAGATCCTTGTGGAATATGACGACGTCGAGTGGCACCGAAGGGAATGGATCAGCGTCTACAAGGACAAACTATTCCACCTGTTTATGGTGGAACAGGGCTTGGCATGGGTCAAACGCCGTGATCCTTTCGCTCCATCAAGCACCACGACGGTCCTTTGGCCTGCCCTTGTGAGTGTGCTTTCCCAATTAAAAGTTTTAATCAAAATTACCAAAGAAAGAGAATATCTAGCCCGGGTTAATGGCAGACTGATCGAAGTTCTCGATCATAATGCATGTCTCTGGGAGATAAGAGAGGTTAGAACTAGGTCGCCGTAATCAAGTTTAAATTACTCCACTGGTTAAAGAAACAGATGTTTGTGTGACCCAAATCGGGGCCAAACACATCAAACTTTGATCGATGATTCCATACCGGTAGAAAGTTCACTCATTGCTTCCGGGGGCCAATTAAAAATCGAAATTTTCATTGCGATTGTAACACCAGGTGGCGTTTGAAACGCCAAGGTGACTCCAAGGTGGAAAAAACGATCCCGAGATGTTGTGGAGAATGCCGCTCTTCAAGATTTTTTATCTCGCGTTTGACGTAATTGGCAAGTTACATTTTGGGCGTGAATAGAGGTCAAAACTTTTTTTATAGTAACGACTCTTTAGATTAAACCCAAGGTTCAAGGTCCCGTTTTATTTAGAATATTTTATACATTCCACGTTTTGCAAAAAACACTCAGACTAGACATTGATTGGAAAGTTTGCCAAATCGATTTCGTAACAACAAAACGGTTAATTATCCTTGGTCGCGTAACCAATCACCGAGATGAAATTATGTCCAAATTGGAGCACAAGCATCACCTTGAGCGTCTGAAAAAATCTTTTCATCATTGTTTTCCGTTGTTGGAAGGAAATTAATTTGATGATGAGGCAGTGGGAAACGACCTTGCTTGTTTTACACAAGCAGAAATAATGATACGGTGTTTTGTTGCAGACGTTTTCGCCTCTGGTATCCGCCGTAGATGTGATGCTACAACAACAACAACCAGTGGAATTTCTCCTAGACAAAGAACTCGCTTTCGAAGATTATAAACTACTCAAACCTTTTCAGGTAATAATGGCTGAAAAAATCACAACCTTGTCCATCAACGAGATTTGCAAATGACGCCTCCGCGGGGGCACGAATTATTTATTGCCCAGGTTTTTTCAGGCTTCTGAAATAATTACTTCATGAATTATTCAACGAAACTGATTGACTCGGTTAAAATAACTTTTTGCCTATCATATAAGGAAAGTATTGTAATGGGCTGAAGTTTGACCTACCTGAATTTTTACATTTCTGGACGAATTATAGCTTCAAGACACCAAAAAACTGTGTGTGAAATTTTCATTGAATTCGTAACAAAAATCGCAGAATCGAGTTATTTTTTTAATGAAAACATTGCGTATTATTAAATTTATGTTTTTGCTTTTACTTTTTTGACTTTTTTCGTTCGATTTAGCCCACTTTTCAGCAAATTTTTGTCACTAAAAATTTATTCATTATTTAAGCCGGAAATGGATATTTTTTGCCTCTAGGCCGAATAAAATCATGAATTTTTTGTTCCCATATGTTTTTTTTTTATTTATTTACTTTTTGTTTTTTATATTTTGCTTGCTGTAAGAAATGTTATTGAATCGATGCAAAAATATGGTTTGAAATCTGGCTTATTTTGAGTTTTTTTTTTGATTATTTTACAAGATTTTGTTCCATCGAGACGAAAAACCTTAACAACAAGTTTTAAATCACTTGGAATCGAGTTAATTAACAATTTTGAGCAAATATAAAAAGGTGACTTATTTTTTTCAATTCTTCTTTCTTGAATCAGCTTATTTTTTAACGGGAATTGCCCTTATCAATAAAATTGTTCAATTTATACGTCAAATATAAAAATATGTTTTAAAACGAGTTATTCGAGCTTGTTTCTGATGGATTATTAGAAGTCTCGTTATTTTTTTTAATTGCTTATTTTTTGGAAATCGTAAAATTGGCTGATTTTTTTCAATGAAAACTTTGCTTTTTTTAAAAGATTTTATTAAGT